AATGCAAAACTCTTGTCTCTTTGGAATTACTTGACTTAAAAGAACTAATACCAAGTAAATACAACACACAGTAAAATTGCCTAAGTGGAGTTGAACAGCTGTCTGATGAAAGCCTTCTCCAGATAACTTCCCGCTCTCCCAGTTATTCACCGTAAATACTTCAGTGCGTAGCTAAAACAACGCACGCTGACTCTCAACTCCTCCTTGCTTGCAGCTGGCCATTAGCCCTGCAGTTGCCACCTTCTATTCTGTCCCTCAAAATAATCCCCGGTTCTTCCCAAGCGAGCAAGCAACGCGTTTCAGAACGTGAAGGGGAGCAAGCGGCCCTGCGCCGCCCGACGTCCCAGAGACGGAGAGCTGCTGGTAGCCAGGAGACAAGGTCAAGGTGCAAGCAGGCACCTCCTCTGCAATCCCTTAAAGCAAACCTGTTGCTGGTAGGAAAGCAATACAGCACGGTGGTTACAAATAAACGGGACGAGAAGCTTTTTATTTCCTATTGCCTTCACTGCAAAGACGCCGGCAGCTGCCGTTGTCGCTGGTAGAAGTCACTGTAAACTAGCAAGATAAACAGCTTGGTTCTCTCTCCTGTCCAGGTTACCCACAAGGTAAGCAAAACAGCAATTACATCAACCCAAACAGTAATTACATCAACTGAAAGAGCAGAACAGAAGCGTAAGGACTGCACAAATCAAGCAGCAAACGCTGAAATGTCACACTCTGCCCTGTCAAGTCAGAGGCAAGTTTGATCCTGCCTTGCAGATAAAGACAAAACCAGCAAGATTAACAAAACTTTGGGAAAAAAAAAAACAAAACACAATTAAAAAGCTTGGTGAACTTCCTATTACAGCCATGCAAATAGGCAGACTATGAAAACAAGCATTCAGGAGGCCTAGAAAAGCAACGCTCTATTACATGGTGTCACCACAACAGTGGTGTGTTTAGAGAGGAACGAGCTACTAGAATAACATCTCTCTGATCAAATTTTATCCAAAATCACCTGACTAGAAACTTTCTCCCAGAAATTCAGTTTGGTTGCCCATTCAAAACGTGTCCGTGGCCTCCCTCTATAGTTTCCAAAGAACATTTGGGGAAAAAAAAAACCTGAAAAACCAAAACCTGCCCAAAGCCTGCAATTAAGTATTAACTAGCGTCACCGAAAGCATCAGTCCCTCTCGCAAATGCTCTTGAGGAAACCGAGAGCAGATGACTGGGTGTTCACTCCCTCCCTTTCAGATCATGGCTAAGCAAACACGGGGACAGATTTTCACTCCCATGGGTGTATGTTTCCTTCAATGACCACGTCTGGAAAACCAAATCTCTAGGTATGGATTTCCTTCCTGTCATTATATACTTCTCATTTTCCTTCCATTTTCATTTGCTCACCAAGCCTGCTATTTTACCAGGACAGCTGGCATTCTCAAGCACCTCCTCCCCATACCGACCCGACACATCCAAACGCTTGCACATACCTCGAGCACAGACAGGAGGACAGAGCAAACTCCTGGAAAATAACCAAAACGGGATTAAATTCTCTGTTTCCCAGGAGCTCCCATACAGATCCAGAGCTCTGGGAACAGAATCATAGAATGGTAGGGGTTGGAAGGGACCTCTGTGGGTCACCCAGTCCAACCCCCCTGCCGGAGCAGGGGCAGCTAGCAAGAAGTTCTTCCTCATCTTCAGACGGAAACATCCCACAGCAGTCTGCTCCAGAGATGCTGACGCTTAAAACCCGAAGGTCCTCTCCAAAATGACAGACCTTGGAGAATATGAGCTATCAGGCCAACGGGTGACAGCACGTTTCTTTCTGTAGGAAGAGTTCTGGTGCCACACAGACCTGACTTCCACAGGAATCTCAAACCACACCACTGCTAGAAATTTTTTTGCAATAAATTGCATTTTTCTAGCTAGCACGAGTAACAACACTAGATTGACTGTACAAAGGAGATGCTGAAAGAAGAAACACTCTATACATAATTTTATTTCTACACACTTTCTAGGTCATATCCATTAGTTTCCTTATACATGGTCAAGAGATTTGGGTTGCTTAGGATTACGCAATAGGAATCCAAAGTCTCTTCCCACAGCACACTCAAATGGTACAGTGCGCTTACGGACAATTCTTCTGAAGAGGCCATGCCTCAGTGGACATTTACACATCAAAGAAAAATAACTATGTACATCTCCACAAATCAATGTGGGGTTTTTTTACCCCCACGTCAGAAGAAATACCACAAATTGCAATTTGTCTTACAGTATCTCTTCATTAAAGTTCATGAGCAGCTAAAAAAAAACACTTTGAAGATTGCAAGGTCTCTGCAGAAGTGTAGCAACCTCCCCACATACGCCTGAACCCCGCTTTTAACAGTGGCCTGCTACCCCAAGATGGGTCAACCCTAGTATGAGCTGCAAGCTCCACGGCTGGGATGATGCCGGCTCTGTCCCAAACCCAGTTCACGGCCCGTACCGCCCAGCGTGGTCGGCGAGCACCCGGCTGGCGATGCATCCAGGCTTGACTGCAGCAGGACCATATGGTCGCCCCGTAAGCTCACCTCATGGTCCATTACCCAGCATCCACGTACCAGCTCCACGTTCACAGAGCGAACAAGAGAGCTGGCGTGAATCCTTGGGCTACAGCACGAGGCTCTGTATATTAAAGGGGATGAAAAGTTGTTTAGGCTTGTCAGAGATGGCGTAAGGCAGCCTACGCAGCCCTTGTTTTAGACACCTACAATATTTTAGAAGGATCTTTTGAAGATGGCGAGTCGTTTACCGATTTTAGCAGAGACAAGAGAGACTCTCTTGACTCTGCAGTTCTCATAAGCATCTACAGACAGGTGGGAAGGAAAGCAAGGTCACCGTAAGGCAAGATCATTTTATATTTCTACAGTCTGACAAGAAAACACTGTATCTGTAAAAGAAACCACAAGAAAGATTGTTTTGTAATCCTCTATTTTTAAAAGTACGTTGTTTACTTTGCAGGTGTCAGAAGACAAAATATTCACAGAGAAGCAACCAAATGAAGAAAATTTGTAGAGAGATCATATCTGTCCAAGACAAATTAGTCTTACACTGTTCACGACTTGGCACTCAATCCAAACTTGCAAGGAAAATCTATCACCGTCACGCAGTCGAGATCTCCTGCCATAAGTTAAAATTCAACATTTTCTCACTTAAAACTACTCATACAGTGGATTTCTAGTGTTTGGACTCCAGAATTTTCTTGTCTGAGATGGCAGCCTGACCGTACAGTTATTGTCACTAGTGATGAATGAAGTTTATGAAACGTTTTTCTGCCACTTAAGGCCCTCATAATACATACCAGAATGACTGTTGACCAATTCTATTCTGGAAAACCATCTCTGAAGCGAGATGGAAAACCATGGAGATCAATATATTAACATGTACTTGATTCAACATGTAACCAAGTACATCATCCTGACTTTCAGAACGTCAGACAAACTGTAACTCGCAGATTTTATTTTTAAAGTCCTCCATCATACGACAGCAAATTTTATGCAGCTGAACAAAGTTAGCGGAGCAGAAAGTTCTTTCAGCAGGCAACTGTGTTAATTTAGTAAGCAATCGTGCTTGCTAAACAAAACTGTGAGGACAGAAAACCTGAACGTAGCCAGAGTTCAGATCCAAGAGGGCCAAGAACTACCAGAAGCTGATTCGATCCGATTAATTGGCTGTCTGCATTTCAGCCAATGTATCTGGAAAAGTTATAGATGAAGTGTGAAGGCAAAAAACTAATCAGAAAAAATAACTTCCAGAATGCTTCCCACACGTAATTTGCTCTGACCCTAAAAGCTAACACTGCAGGAAGATGCATAAACTTCTGGCCACGTTTAGACACTTTTCTGACCGCTGATCGCTCGAGTCAGTCTCTTCGACCCTGCAAAGTCAGGCAGCAACCTCACCCCACGCTGGAAACACTTCTCTGTCCCCGCATCACGCCGAGGAGAGGAACAGCTGGCTTTCACCTCACCGCCCCGCTGCCCAGCGAGAGAAATCCATCGCTGCAACACACAGACCTCGAAGACAAGGCACCTCCTTTTCGGCCATACCACCCACACCTGTGATCAAAGTCTTGTCCTGCTGTGGACAGGGCTTAGCCACGCTCCGTTACTCGCAATAATTCTGACCGGGCCCAAATAATACGGTCGTGTCAGATCTCTCTAGCCACAAGGGAAGGCCTTTCACTCACTTCTTTGCAACGTGCACCCCTGTAGAGGAATTACAGGAGGGGAATGAAAGTCAGAGATTACACCTGCTTCCCAGCCTTGCTAGTCCTAAATTTAGACTTGGAAATTACATCATATGCAAATCGTACTTTGCAATATTATATTTCTGTATATACGCTCTATATTTTAGCCTTAAAATTCGCATTATGTATTTATGGCACTCTGGTTGCCCTCTCAGAATGGGCTCATTGATGCCCAGCACAGAGAAGAGACCACCACGCTTTTATTTCCCTAC